TTTATTCAATTAAATTCGCAATTATCGAACCTCAACGTTATTGTTTGGTGACCGTGTTATTCGTATTATTTGCAATGATGCTTCGGAACAATTAATGAGTAAAACTTTTGAATAAAACGTGAAAGATACGGCAAAACAATTAAACAAAACATGAAAGACACGATAAAATGTATAAATAAATCGTACGAAATAAGTATGGTTTTACAAAAAATATTATTACACTTTTAGACATATAATCTACAAATATATATACGCTACAGATACATAATCCATAAATCAGACGAATTCTAATTAGATATTTACAAAACTTTCGTCAAAATATAATGAGAAAGAAATGATCTAAATACAATTAATAATGTGGCGATGAATTAATCGTAGAACAAAATTTGTGATTTTCCAATGATTAAATTTATTTACGCAGATAAATCTGGTTTGCGAGCAAAACGCAAATTCGGCTAACTATAATCGAGGGAGTCGAGTGTCGCAGCGCTCGTTTCATGTGTCAGACTTGTGGTTGAATGTGACCTCTTATCGGGCCGTTGACGCACGCTTGTCCCTCGGTGGAATCTCCAATTATGAGTTCTCGACACCGGTTACGCTTCACGGTAAAAGACCGCGTCCGCAGTGGAATTTCCGGACCCCTTGCTCTCGTAACCGATGTAACCTCTTAACATTCGATGTCGATTGTCGCATCATACGGATTACCAAGTTTGCGTTCTCTTGCACAAAGGATTCCGGTTGTAAATGTTGACGCAATATCGGTCGGTTCGATTTCAATCGCTTTGTGATTGAACTGGTATGTTTCACGTTAATATCGCGGCAATGAAAATAATCTGTTAGATTTTTAAAGTGTAATTTACTTCATGGTTTATTCACGTACACCCAGAACAACACACACGAGATTAATACATAGATTAAGTTTAAAATTGAACTTTAGTTACTTTTTATTTTACCACCTTTTTCCTCTTTTTTTTTTATACAGTGAAGTATTTAATTCTAATCGATATTCACGTATCCAGCGGACCCGAACATTTTCTTCAACTGTGTTATAAAAAGTTATTTATAACAAATGTTTTTCATAACCTTACATAATCTTCAAAATGAAAAAAAAAAATCGTTCAGTCATGTTAACTTTAAGCAAAGGTACATTAATTTAAAGTATACTGGATCCGCGAATACCAGTTAAGAGAGAACGGATATCGATTAGAGTTAAAAATACAAAATACGCATACAAGTTATAGGAAGAAGATTGATGTATATTTAAAAGATTCAAAAGTGAGAGAGATTCAAATTATTACTGGTTAGTGGGGTTAATGAAGAGTTTTTTTAAATTACATATTAAATTTGCCAATATTGCCTCACGTAATCGCGTACTCGAAGTCGACGATATTTTCCTGACCAGCTACCACTGTACACGATAAAACGAATAATGTTCGATCCTGTGCGAATAACATCGCTGGCTGTCTGCGTAAATAAAGTTTACGGAATCTTTCTCGTAACAATAGCTTCACGTTAATGGATTTTAACTGTTACTATGTATGCAATAAGATCAGTAAGCATTGTGACACTCTTAGTAAGAATGCAATTTCTGTGCTTTCCACCAACGAACAAGTTCTGCTAGTGTCTCGCGGAATCTCTACGGCACGTACCGCTACAAAACGAACAGAAAGCTTTTGCGGCATTATTACGGTATATATACGTTAAAGTTATACAAGTCATTTTCGTCTTCGTTTTGAGAAACATAAAATTTTAGACAAGTATCCAGCATAAAATCCAACCGCTTTGATGTCGCAATTTTTTTACGATCCTGTAAGAGATCCAAGCTTTATTGCCATTTTAAAATAATTACTCGAAGAGTAATGCCTCGTGAAATTCTGGCCGGTCGCTCATATGAGAATGTCACGCGAAAATGGTGGATTACATCGCCGTCGATGGTGAGCCAGTAAATTTGCTCACCGTCTGAAAATGTCGCGCGGTCGGAATTTGCGGAAAGACGCCGGCCAACATAGAAGAAAGTAATTTAGATCGCTCTTCAAAGGGACCCCAACTTGGAACGTGCTATGAAATTACTACCGTCGGATCATGAATCAGACTTTCCTGTTGCAACTCACAATGGTTTTATAAGGGTTTAGGAATTTAGTCGAAAATAAACGTTCAAATCGTTTTCACGCAGATGTGTCTAGCTTATGTTATAATAACTGTCCCATTATCAGAAGGAAATATTAACAAGAGACACATTCCTGATTCTGTTTCAACGACTGTATAAAAATAGGAGTGGGATTATTAAGTAAAATTATGATGACTCTCAAAAAAGCTTGCGCATTTCGTTGACGCATTAGCCATTTGAATATTTATGACGAGACTCGTAACTTTTTCGCATGAGACTTGGTGCAAAATTTTTGCAAAAAGTTGCTCCATTAGTCACAAGAGAGATGCACGTTAAAAGAAGCCCTAATCGATATATCATCATGATGCAACGCGTGTTACGACAAACTGTGACGGACGGTAAACACGGAGCACTTCGTACAAAAAAAACCAGCATCGTCGCAACTTCAGCAATCTGTTTTAGTTTCGGAGTTAATATTTTCCCCAGGAGAGCTGAACGTGTTCCTGCATGTTTAGGTTTATAGACGTATGCTACGTCGATGTTGCGCATTGTTCCAATACATCGCACGCTGACGCAAAAGTAAAACGACTGTCAGAAAGTAGCGAGGGGTGTCGAAGTTGGAGGAATGACTTTAGTTCCACCAGTGAAATCTGCGAGACGAATTCGCGCGCGGTCACATTATGAGCTGTGAGCGCTGAAAAACTTCAAAAATCCGCAAATTTGCGAACTCCGAAGAACTGTCGTGCCATGTTTTTATTGTTGATAAAAAAAAAAAACACACGAAGGAAAAATTTTGAGAATGTATATGTACTGAGAAGGAGAGAGAAGAATTTAATACTGATTGCTTTTTAATACTAATTCTCATAAAATTGATCTTAAACTATAATGGTCCATGCGTATGTTATTTGCGGTAAGAGAAATCTCTTTTCGTGCAAGAAATAACTTCGCATGCGACTATCATTAGAGATTCGAGTCGATCATTGATGCGTCGTCGAATGCGGAACTCTCTTATGCGGTTCGTTCTTCTTGTATAACTCGAGCACGCAATAACTTCCACCTGTTCGTGAGAATCGTACGTGTTCTGAATGTTATTCTAGCGGGAATAGTTTACGATTTTATGGAACAAATGCTTTCTCGCTGTGAACCGTATTATATCATCGCTTTATGTCGTTCCTGTACAGCTTTCACTCAAAATATAAACTGTACGCTTATATAATCTGACAGTACCTCAGTCGATGTGAAGCAAATAAAACGAGAGGCAGTTCCCTCTGAAACGATATAGTCCCTTTTTTTTTTAATACGACGATAAAAAATTTTTCATCGGCAAACAGCTGCAACGAAGTCGACTGACATTTTGTAAAGTTACAACTTTGTTCTTGTCACGAATAAAAGTTAACTAATTATTTACGTAAATCGTTTTGAATGGATGTATCTGTCGGCGGTTTTCCGTAAAATATCACATTTCCTGAAAACTTGTTTAAACAGCTTGCGTCCAAGTTAAGTAGATATTTGTCGCTCAAGTGCACTCTTGAGCACACCGATCGTTCAATTTCATTTTATAGAAAGGTTGAAGTGCACCTGAGATGAGAGACGGCAACGAAATCGTGTTCCCGTTCGGTAGAATCCTTCACGTCCATCGATTTACACAGAAAACTTGCGGAAATTTCTATGGAATCAAACGTATACTTTACAAAAAATAACATTTACCGAATAGAGTATCACGACAGTGTCGGATGAAAAAACTAAAATAACGTTGCATAAGATATTCTCATTTTTTAATGTTAGAGATACATCTTCACTTAATTTCGCCCTATCTTTAAAACGATATATCTTTTTTTATAGACGGAAAATATCCTTTTAAATTTTTTGATGCGTATACTATCGGTTACGGCTAAAATATGGATTAATCTTTATATGACTCACTCCGTCCGGATGATATTTCGGCACGCCGCTCGGCGTTGTGTTGCTCCCACAAAATTCGGCCAGAACATCCTGGAGCTTCCGCGTGGAATCTGAGAAACAATTAACGGTTTGACAATTTGTTGCACTCGTAATTAAATTCTATATGATATTGAAAGAATAATTGTCAAGTATCAAAGAGAATCTAAATAATATAACACATGTTTTATTAATAGTCGAAAATTTAATAAAATATTTCATAACAATACGTATAAAATGTAAAAGCAAATTAAAAAAGTAATTTTATTGGGTCAGAAAAATTTGATTGGCGATGTGTATGACGTAAAATGCTCACAATTTTTTAAATATTCAAATGCTTCCAATCTTAGCTTTGTAAATTGATCATTCCAATAAATGTATATAAAAAAAAAAAATATATTAAAGTTGTAAATATATCAATATTTCGTGAGAGATTTTTTTCTGGTTGATTCGACATGTCAGCAAATGTGTCACGAACAAGTTAGTTTCTGAGATAGACAGTTGAAGAGAGAGGGCGATTGATCCAACCATCTTGAAGTCAACTGTTTACAGAAGAAACAACGGTGATAAATTGACTAATAATAGGAGGCCATTGGCCTAATCTACCCGCGCTGACGTCATAATGCACTTAATGGATCAGGATATTTTTGGGCCACTACTATTTTCAAGCCGATTGACGGCCACGGATCGTATTCGAACGAGTAGATGATTAATGCGTCCAGCTAAAATTCCTGTTTCCGCCTCAATGACTGTCCGTCTCGCATAACTGCCGATGATTATTGAACAATTATTTTATAACGGTAGAATAGCCACAAAAATGAATTGCAAACAGTAACTTTATGACAAAGCAAATTTTTTTTCGAAAGCTGTACTCATTACGATAAATTTATTCTGTTTTAAAAAGTTATAGACGTTCGAGCATTAATTTTCAAATACATTTAATGTTGATTTTTTTGTTAAACAATCTTTGATTTGTACAGTCGATTTATAATTTAATTTATTATTGTTTTTACGTTATTGTTTAACTTAAGAGAGAATGAAAGAAAATGTTTGTCAGTTAATGTTTGTCAGTTAAAATACGTATGGAAAGAATTATTTTGCTGAAGGTAGGTAAAAATTTAATCAGATACAGATCTGAAAATAAATTTTGTTGGATTATGAAAATAATTGTGTGGGAAAGTCAAGCATAATAAGCAATGCTGTAAAAAGTTTTGACATTTTTAGTAACCAGCTTGAGTGTTCTACATAATTATTTTTACAGCCATCAAATTTATTTTCAGATCTATATCTAATTAACTTAAATTTTTAGATACCCATTTTAGCAAAACCGTTCTTCCCGTGCAATAAACGTATACTTGTTCGATTATTTTTAAATAATCGTAATGATATTTTTTGATTTCTTGATCTCTCTCATCTCCCAATCGCATTCTATTTCTGCGAATTCTAACGCGAGAATCCTTTGTTTCGCACAATGTTGTACTATTTCGAATGAAAGATTATGTACCAGGATGGAAGCCATATTACGATAATGCCAGTAAATTTCTTGACGAACGGCGGCAATTTATTCAGCTTACACGACAAAGTGCAGCGCTTGTTCGATGAATTAGTGCTTTCCTGCGCGAACGTTGCGTATGTTGCTTCTTCTCGAAAGACATAGGCGTTGCTACAGCGTCGCATCTTCCTGTCAGCCGGATGTAAAATACTAGACAGTGGAAACACCTGTACGTCATCAAGCCCGCGATCGAGGAGTTTATGCGCGGAAAATTCGAAGCGCGTTTACTGCCGGTCGCTAAATCGGAAAAACGGAAATGTACGGCAAAATTATACGAATTTCAACGTTCGGATCTACATATTATATTAATTAGAGATTATAATGTAACAAGCGGCTTTATACACGTGTTCATTTGAATTATTCATTCCAATCGGGAATTTTTTGAAATCTCGCGATTGTTTTTACCCAAAGCAATATCCGCGAAAATGTCTACGAGGGTTTCAAGAAAATATTGCAAGCTACTTAACGCATAAATATTTTTAATTAAAGTTTTAAATGCATATAATTTTATAAACTTATTTCAAGCAACATGCGCGAATTGCACGATGCTTCGTAACGAAGAGAGCGAACGAAGACATATAAATTGTTGATTATTCGACATTTCTTTTTTCAACGTGATAGTATTTACGTTTTATATCCATCTTGATGTATTTTTAATAGCTTTCATTCAACAAACTTCCAGTTGTTGACTTTCATTCTGCGTAATTGAACGGAGCTAATTACCACTTCGTTTCAGTTATATTTAATTGAATTAAGTGCTATCTGTAATTAAAGATAGTGCCCCGTTGCTAGCCACATAATTTAAGAATATTCACTATGGCACACGAAAGTCTCAGGTAATTTACGACAATCGAAGACAGAAAATTTACATTTATGTATTAAAAAAAAATTATATTGTTCTATTCTATCAGAAAGATGTTACAAAACATCTTAACAAAATGCCAGAATGTGTTTTTTATTACAACGTACTAACTTACGTATTAATTTACGTTTTGACGGTAACAAATAATGTTATATTATCTTTCATTGTTCAAATAAGTTACTTTCTTGTGACTATAATCTAATTCGTGCGACGATAGTTACCCGATAGCGCGCGTAAACTTCAGTTACTTCCATCGCAACGAAACTTTTAAAGAACGCAACAGGCAACACGAGAAGCTCATTTGTATTCAATGAGTAAATTCGGGATAAAATTATCGCACATTCGATTCGATTCGGAGCAAATAAAATTACATCATTTGATTCATTCGGAGGATACTGTATGAATGGTCGCCTAATCAAGTATACACTCAAAATTACAAACTGAATTCGAATTTGAAAATGTTGAAAAAAAATGTAAAATTAATTCATTGACTTTGACGTAAATAGAAGTAAAATAATAATTCGTATAATATAGCGGTTACAAATTTGCAAATATCGTAAAGCGTTAAAAAAAATGTTTGAAACTTTATTTTGGTTCTTTATATCAAATAATCGTCTTTATTCAGAACTTTGAAATCAGCTTGAATATTGATAAATAGTTAAGAGACTAATCTTCATTAAGTGTCCGCAAATTAATAACACCGTCTATTAAGCGAGAATTAAGCCAGATGTATATAAAGTTGTTCGTGTTAAATTTTGCCGATGCTAGATAAGTCAAAGTTGGTTAAAACTTCATCAGTAACGCAGACTTTAGGATTTACGACCTGTAAAAAAAAAATTCAAAAGAAAAAAGAAAGAAACCGTAGTTCTCCGTTGTGATTTATCTGCATTATTTTACACGTTTCAGCACTTCCTATTCCGTTTCTTTCTTTTGCTACTTACAAGCTGCCAAGTCCTGAAGTTGTTGGAATTCAGCTGGCGAGAGCTTATCCCAATGGAAGGTCATCCTTACTTCTGATCTATATATCCCTCAGGACGAGTGGCCAGATGCTGGATACTGAAATTCGTCACCTACAAATCAAAAGATATCGCTGTTTGTAAAAACGCGATCGGTGTCTCTCTATATGGCTTTGTTATTCAAGATCTCCATATAGAAATAACTAAGTATCTCTATATTTTATTGAATTAAATTTGAAATTATTTATAGCTAACCTTATTACATCTCTGCACTATGAAGAAAATAATACACCTATGTTCGATAAGCTTCAGTGAGTTGATTAACATTTCAGACTATTTATAGCGACTAGCTAAATAGTCAATATCGAGTCAATTTCTTTATGTTTTTTTGCATATCTTTAGAGAAATATTAATGATTCTTTTGTGTAACACGCTGATTGAATTAATTTTTTAAATATTAAATATATTTATAAATTGATGCTGATATGAAATATTTATTATTCGCCTTCTATTCATGCAATTCGGGGGAAAAATGCAACGTGTCATTTAAATCAAATGTAATAACAAATTAAATAATATCAAAATAATAACAACACGATTAATTAAATAAATTATTTAACAGAAAGAAATTAGATTCAAAGCATTGTGCGGCTTTAATTATGTCAATTATCTGTTAGATCAACCTAGAAGTGCTTTTGATATTGATTTACTATTTGTTAGTGGTTTATATTAATATAGTCTGTTGCGATCTCACACATATATACACATTCGTTGCGCATCAGTCGTTCGGGCAAATTACAGATTTACGGTCACTGTGGCCGCTTTTCTCTCGCTGTAAACGCGTCAATGTGCAAGAGAGGTATCCGAACGATCGAACATGTTCCTTCCGCAAACATGTGGCAACGGCTGGACACATCCTCTGTCAGCGAAACCTGTGATGTTCGATGAAACTCGTTCGTTTGGCATTTTGAACCGTTCACCGATCTCTTTTCACTGTACTGTCTTTAGCTGAGCCGCGTAAAACTTTATCCACGGTGGTAAAACCGTGACACGATATTCACAGGTCCAATGTATCGAATCTTTTTCCAAAATTCGCTATGGTCAGCTACAGGCTTTAATCCGCGAAAAATTAAATTTTTGTTGAAACGCTATCTATAATAAGTCGCTATATTTTAAACTACACGTGTTTGTCTTTTTTTTTATAAATAATCTATGTGAAATATAAATAAAAGGTTATTTAATAAACGTGAAAAATCACGTTCATAATACATATATTGCGTTCCTTTCTCTCTAAAATTTTATCAATTTTTCTGTCCGTTCTGAAACGAAATATATAGTGAAACAAATATGAACCTATAATTGCATTTATGCATTATTGATTTTTTTTATGCACATTAATTTGTTATTGTTTTCATTCAAGTGATTTTTAATTTAGTGATTATTATTTTTCAGTCCATTTTCTTTTTCTCAACCATAACAATTATTATTAATCGACTAATAATGATAATTTAATTAATACTCTTTTTCGATAATTTAATTATGTCGAATAACAAGTTTTAACCGTTGCAAATTATATAATTTTCTTTTGCATGAAAATTTTCGATCGTTACTGAAAATTAATCGATAACTCAATTAAGCGACGCTAACGGGTTAGCGAAACAAAGCGCGCAATATGCGATAATAAACTCATTCATGAATATTGATTTGAGAATATTCGACGTACCTTTATCTTTCGGGACGTATTAAATATTTCATGATAACACCGTTCGCTTGTTTTTGCGTGTATATGCAAAGTAATCGTACAACTCAGTCGCTTTAGTTTAGTTAATCGATGATTAATTTGCAGAAGTGCCAATAGCAGTTCAATGAATCAGAACTTCTTCTTTCTTCCTCTTCCGAGATAAACTGTGTTCAGTTCTCACGTTAGCAATTGTGCTAATTGAATTAACCATATCGATTAGCGTTAATCAGAGTTGAAGAGGCCCTTATTGTCATTCACGTAGCGAGATCAGACGAAAGGGCGGGTCGTGAGCCGTTTGTGTATCGTCGCATTAATCTACGAAACACAGTCGCGACAAGTGCTAGGAGACGTAATTATTCAATTAGTGATACCGAACTACCGTGAATAATGAACTTTCGACGGATGATGAGTAAAAGATAGGTCATTGGTGGGATGAATTTTTTACAAATTCACAAAAATTAATAAGTAACTCGTACTTTAATATTTTGTAAAAATATTTGTAAAGTTGTACATTAAAAAAAATTGTATATAAATGTGTTGTAACTAATTACTTGGTCTAATTAAATTCTGTTTTCGTTCAAAGTGGAATTTCAGACTTAAATATTTCCATGTTTATATACATATTCAATTCTACAAACTGCATGTCGAAATCTTTTTCAGTCTTGAAATGCAATCATAAACAAAACTTTTCAGCGAAAAGATTTCAGCGCGCAGTTTACGGAATTGGACATGTATATAAATTCGCACATTCAAGCACTATAAGATCCGTTTTGATCAAAAATAGAATTTCTCTAAACAAGATCTATTCTCATCGGTCCAATATCGAATTATAATTGTAATTACTTAGTATTACATTTCCTAGTATTACATTTCAAAGAAAAGAATGCACAGGACCACGAATAATCCTATCATGTGTGCTAAGGGTTAATTGAAAGAGATATCTTACACAATTTGTTCATTGGAAGTGAGAAATCGATGCGACAGAGATGAGAATTCAATTACTATTTCAGATTTTCGTTCCAATATCTATAGAAGAAATATAATTAATTCAACAGTGTTCATCAATGTCAAGATGAAACTGCCAACGTTTTATAACTTTTCGACTTTAAAAAGAACGTTGATCAACGTCGGAATCACCTTTCAACTAATGTTCCGCTGGAAATCGATAGCCATTCCACAAGAAATCAATTAGTACTGTCATATATATATATATATATACTGACATATATATCGTATATATAACTTATTACTTATTTTATTGTTAATGTGTGATTGACAATTTAGTTTACTAACACAAGTATTTTTTGTACTTGTGTAAAATAAAAATAAAAATAAATTAATATGTAGAATAAATAATATGGAAAAGCTATTAATATTTAGATGCTTTACTTTATTTTCTTTTTTCTCTCTTCCCAAATACGTTTTTAATAAAATTTGAGAGGTTCGTGCTTGACTCCTTCAGGATTTAATGTTACATAAACTGGCGCAAGAAAGCAATATATTCAGAAATTTTTTCAATAATCTGTATATTTCATCGATGAATAAAAAAATAATAGTAAATATTTTATAATCACATAATATATTCCAACAATTTAGTAAAAAGAGACAAATTATTATTAATCATATTTATAATTATGCTATTTATTGATAACTGAGCTTTGATATAAAGCGAACTAATGTGAAATGATAAAATAATATATCTGGAGCTATATAAAAGGCAAAATTAAAAAAAATTAATATTAGAGTTGAAAAAAAAATAAATAACAGATAACACATCGGTCCGCGTGTAATTAGTTACGGGACTGAGTGTACAAATTTTGTGGAATTAATTAATCAATTTGGATCGTTATAACTCGAGAGACTATCTTCTCGTATCAAAATTTTCAACTCCAATTAATATCCAAAATACGCTATTAAAGCGTTGTATAGCGGTTGTGGAACATTTTATGTAATGAGAATATGGTATACCGTGTTACCGCGAGTTTATTTACATAATACAATTATATTATTGAAAGTATTTTACGTATTATGATGTGAAAAAATATGAAAATTCTCTTTACGCAACATTAATTCTTCTTTTTATCATTTTGTGAATTATTAAATAAAACAAATAGCGTCTTGTATAATGGGTCATTTCAGATGATATTAATTAAATAGTCAGGAAGAAAGAAAAACGTTTCCCTCTAAAAAATATGGATGTTGATTTAACACCATATTTATATAATTTTCACCGTGTTGATATTGAAATATCAATATATGTATGGATTTAAATTCACATGATATTGATGTTAATATAAACACCATAAGCTTTAAATATACATATATTGATGTTGACATATCAGCACGATGTAAATTATACAGATATTGTACATATTGAATCCATATCCACATTTTTTTAGAGTGTTTCGTCACTTTTCGAATCAGTAATTTCTGCACGAAAAAAAGGGTTTTCTAAAGTATCTAAAAATTTAGCTAGATATACAAATCTGAAAATAATTTTATTTGGAAATCAACACGATTAGATGTAGAATGTTTAAGCGGCAATGATAATATATTACGAAAAGTTTTAATATTTTACTAATCAATTTAAGCGTCCTATTTAATTATTTTGATGGTTCAAGCAAAATTTTGAGATCTCTATCTAGCTGAATTTTTGGATATTTCAGCAAAACCATTCTTTCTGTGTGCTATCTGTAAATACCATCAAGTATTCGCTAAATGTTACACCCGCTGCGCCGCGATTTTTAATCTAAGCCGGATGTGAACTGGAATTAATGGAACCGCCAGTGCGGCAACAGTTCAAAAGCAAGAGTTCAAATAACGGGGGCCGATAATGCTGTGAATAAAAAGAAAATTTAGCATAATATCAACGGATTATCATCGCCGTTTCGCATGAGACCCTTAATTCGCGGTGTGCATACAACGAGCTGTTGGTAGAACGAGCACAATCGACAAACACGATGCGATGCATGATCGCATTAATCCCGAACGTATCCGCTTCTCCATGTAATACTTCACTACCGATGTGTGATTCGATCATTTCCTCCCTCCTCTCCTGCGGGTACAGATTCGCCGATAATTTCGTCCGGATTATATAATCCGGGTTTATAACGCGCAGAACGGGATTCGGCGCTACTTGCACGCGCGGTTCGCCCGCGTGCGTGCCACGAGCGTGAAATGCAATTTTATTGCTCCGCTGGCTTCTTCCGTGATTTACCGTGTACCGTCGGCTGTGTCCCCGAACACACTCGCATTCGAATAAAATGCCAATCGATGGCGGTGAGCGCGTAATTAGTTTCACACGCGAATCCAAATGAAGGGCAGCTCGAGATGCGGCCTGGTGCGCGGCCGTTTAATCTACCCCCCCCTGGAG